ACACCACTGCTATACATCTTGAGTGTAACTCATTGCACACCACTTCTATACATCTTGAGTGTAACTCATTGCACACCACTTCTACACATCTTGAGTGTAACTCATTACACACCACTTCTACACATCTTGAGTGTAACTCATTAAACACCACTGCTATACATCTTCAGTGTAACTCATTGCACACCACTTCTATATATTTTGGGGTTATTTTTCCTGCTGGAGATACAAGAGATTTCTAAAACTCCCTTCACAGCCGAGAAGTAAAGCTTGATGATCCATGGTTAGATCGTTTGACGAGGTAGAGACAGCGGAGCATGCCCGGAAGCCCACACTCCAGAGGCAGAAGCAGGCAAGTCTCAGAGTTCAAAGACTGGTCTATACAGTGAGTTCCAGGTCAGCTAGGACTATCCAGTGAGATCCTGTCTCAAAACACAAACCAAGCTGGAGAGACGGCTCAGCAATTATAAGAGCACTTGCTACCCTCGCAGAGGACCTGGGTTCACTTCCCAGCACCTACACGGTGACTTCCAGTCACTAAAACTGCAGTTCTGGAAGATCTAATGCCTCTTTTGGCCTCCATGGGCACTGCAGACATGTAGTACACAGACATGTGTGCAGGCAAAATACCCACCCAGATACATAAAAATAATCTTTTTTTTAAATCTCTTGATGGATGGGATCCGCCCTCACTTCTGATGGCTCATGCTTCTGTGACCTCTCCATGCTTGTTAAACTGGGTCCTTCTTACTTCACAGATCTCCATGTCACCCCCTCCATGTGGGATGATGGGAGAGAGGCAGCACACAGGCTTGATGCTCAGAACACTGACCCCACCCACTAGCCTCCACCCATGCCACACCTCCTTTCTAAGACAGTACTTCCTTATCTAACAATCAGAAAACCCTACTCTTGCCTGCCTCCTACTAAGGCTAAGCCAGGTGAGGTCACACATGTTGAAAATCTCTTTGAAATCTAAGTAAAAGTTCGCATTGTCATCTTTATTTTTTTTAAGTTTATGTTGTGTGAATGTGTGTTGTAGCCAGATAAATTTTTCCCATTCACCGGTACCCAAATAACCAATCAGAGGCTTAATATTAATTACAAACTGTTTGGTCTATGTCTCAGGCTTATTGTTAGCTAGCTATTACATCTTAAATTAACCCATTTCTATTTATATATTGCCATGTGACCGTGGCATTACTGGTCTGCTGGCATCTTCCTCCTTGGGCAGCTGGATGGCATCTGCCCTGACTCTGCCTTCCTTTTTTCCCTGTCTCTCTGCTTGGATTTCTTTTCTGGCTATAGTCTGTCTTGCTATAGGTCAAAGCAGCTTTTTTTTATTAACCAATGGTAGCAACACATATTCACAGAGTACAGAAAGACCATCCCACAGCAGTGTGTCACATATAAAAGTTATGTGTGTGCATTATATTTATATCATGTGTATGTGCGGGTATGCACACCTGTGTGTGTGTGAGGCCAGAGGAGGATGCCAGGGGCCCTGCTCTATCGTTCTCTGGTTCATCCCCAGAAAACAGCCTCTCCTTAAATCTGGAGTCAGCCTGGTAGCCAGGAAGGACAGGAGTATGGACACTGAGCAAGCAGAGGCTCGTATTAGGGAGCTGAATTCAGTGCCCCCCTGAAAAAGTGGGTAGTCAGACACATTCCTCTCAGGGGCTCCCCTCCACTTCAGTCACTCCGTTCTTATCCACAGGGCTGCAGTGGTCATCTGGGGAGATCGCAGCTGCCAATGCCTTCTCAGCATTGTAAAGATCTGTGACAATGTTAGCTTCCTGTTATGATGTGATCCGCCAGTGATAACGCTGTATGGAATGGTCCTTAAGCCATGAGTAATGCTGTGCTGTCACTGGAGTGTTGATGGTGCAGAAGCCATCGGTGCCAGTGACCTGTTCAGTTTTGTCCTCCCTCGGTAGGGAACTAGTAGTGGCAAGGCTTTGCTTTGTTCCATTAGTGACAATAGACACTGTAGTAGTGGATGCTCACTGTCAATTTAATGGAATTTAGAATCACCTAGGAGACACACCTCTGGTGTGCCCATCTGGGGAGGTATTTCCAGAGAAGTTAGAGAGAAGACCCACTCTGAACATGCGTGGCACTATCGTGTGGCCAAATAAAAAGAAGGGGAGGACAAAGCTGGACGACCGCTCCTACACATCTCACTGCCTCTTGGTCTGCCATGTGGACAAACAGCCTCACAGTCCCATTCACAGGCAGGAGCCACTCAGGTCGATACACCTTCCCACATGATGAACTACACTCTCAACCCACAATGTCTCCTTTATCCCCTGAGTCTTCGTGTCAGGCATTTGGTCTTGATGGCAAGAGAAGTACCCAACACAGGCTCCGTTATCCCAGAGGAAGAGCCTCACGCCAATCAGCTGATGCCCCTGCACATAATCCCACCCCGTGCAGCTGTGCAAAGGCAGAGGCCTGCCGGCACATCCACTTGACTGGAGAATGGTGGCCAGAGACCTGACAACCTGTGGTGGGAGCTGGAATTTCTCTGAGCATTTACATGAGGAGCTGACGAGATATGAACTTCAGTTGAGTTATGAACATTTTCCCACCAGTTTTCAACACACCACACAGAGAGCCAAAAACGTGCAGCAAGAGGGGCCCCCAGCTGGATCAGGCCCTCTGAATAGGTGAGACAGTCGATTGGCTTGATCAGTTTGGGAGGCAACTAGGCAGTGGGACCGAGTCCTGTGCTCATTGCATGAGTTGGCTGTTTGAAACCTGGAGCTTATGCAGGGATGCTTGGCTCAGTCTGGGAGGAAGGGACTGGACCTGCCTGGACTGAGTCTACCATGTTGATCTCAGTCCTTGGGGGAGGCTTTGCCCTGGAGGAGGTGGGAATGGGGGGGGGGGGGCTGGGAGTAAGGGGAAGGGGTGGGAGGGGGAGAATAGGGGAACCTGTGGCTGATATGTAGAACTGAATGGTATTGTAAAATAAAATAAAATAAAAAATAAAAAAATATATCATTATCAGGGCAGAAAGAACTGCATTCAGCCCTGAGAGCCAACATGGTAGCTGTAAGCCTTGGTCCCACTGGTTAAAACAAAAAAACAAAAAAACGTGCAGCAAGCAGAGCTGTGTTCGTGGCTTTACAGCCTCGCTCTCAGGCCATTACAGACACCCTTGACTGGCATTAACTGTATCACTGCAGGGAGCTTCTAGACTCCATGTTTGTGTGTGACAGGTTATGTTTATATAAAATCCGTGCCTATATGCATGCTGTCTTGGTCAGTTCAGAAAATAGGCTATCCCATAGCATGTCCCCTTAAACTTTAGTTTAAGGCTATGGAAAGTCACCTTGCCTCATTGTACCCATAAAGCCTAACTCCTCAATGCAGACTCAAAGTGACAAAAGGCTGGCTGTAAGAATCAAAGCTGTGACACAAAGAAGTGTCCACAGCACTCAGGAGAATCTTGGTGGTCAGAGCAGTGGGACTTCTCAAGTCTCACCTCAGTGGAGATGCAACCTCAGTGCAACCGAGCATAAACAACCCCTCAGATGGTCCAGAATGAGACCACACCTCCCCTCATTGTCCAGCAGATATCCCCAAATTAGCACCTCTCCTGTAGAACATACCGAGCGTGGGAAGAGTCAAGACTGCACCTCCAGAGGCCCCTAGCATCCTGTTCACTAAAGCAAGTGCTTCCTTTCACCCCTCATGAGTGTGTGTGTGTGTGTGTGTGTGTGTGTGTGTGTGTAAAAGGCCAGATTTCTTTCCTTTTCCTTCTCTCCTACTTCGTCTTCTCTCCTTTCTTCCCTTCCTCCCTTTCTTCATTTCTTCCTGCTCAGTACTAGAGACTGAACCCAGGCCCATGAGAAAACAGCTCTACCATAGAACTATATCCCCAACCCAAATAAACACTCTCTTTGCAATGTCATGATTCTAAACTCTGGACCATCTGCATGCCAGGAGAGTACTGTACCACTGAGCTACAATCCAAGCCCTTACTGTTGGTTGGTTAGTTGGGTGGTTATCTGATTGGTTGGTTCGTTGGTTGGTTCATTTGTTTGTTCATTCATTGGTTCATTGGTTCATTAATTTGTTGGCTGGCTGGCTGGTTGGCTGGCTGGTTGGTTGGCTGGTTTGCCTGGCTGGCTGGCTGGTTGGTTGGTCAGTTTGCTTGGTTGGCTGGTTCTGGATGGATGGATGGATGGATGGATGGATGGATGGATGGATGGATGGATGGATGGATGGTTGATTTGTTGGTTGGCTGGCTGGCTGGCTGGCTGGCTGGCTAGCTGGCTGACTGGCTGGTTGGTTGGTTCATGGCTGGTTTTGCTGTGAATTGAATGTGTGACTTCACAAATTCTAGGCAAAAGGTTGATTTTGTTTTATGGGGCTGGGAGTAAAAACTAGAGCCCTGGGTGCTCTAGGAAAGCGCTCTGCCACTGAGCCTATCATTTTATTTACGGAAGATTTCCCCTAGAAGTGTGAGATACACTGAGGATCACTGGAGAACTGTACCCTCAATCAAACATTTCCTTCATCTGGGTTTTCATGCCTGTGCATGGCATTCCTAAGAACAAATAACAGTTCCTTCTATGCCCTAGAAACCTATTCACTACCAGTGAGCTAACAGAAATAAAGTGGGGTTCAGTCATAGCCTCGGGGCAAACAGCATAGACAGATGTGAATAAGAGCTAGGGATAAAAACAGGTCAAGCTCCAAAAGCCAATAGAGATGAGAAGGGCCCTGCTGCAATGTTTTAGGAATTCAGATTAACTTTGATCAAACTCCCAAGACATGCTACTGTAAACAGGAAAGATGAGACACATCTCAGCCTGTCAGTGTATCATCCTATAATCTAAAAATACTGAAGAGTGAGGGGTGGACTCAGTTTCCTCTTAACATCACCTAGATGTATCCAACAACTGTCTGACCAGTGGAGAGCAGATTCTGATTAGCAGCCATTCTCTACCCAATGTTAGTAACCCTCCTACTGTGTGTGCATTTGGGGCAAGCATTTCCATTGTTCCAGAAGAGTCAGACGCATGGCTTCCCTATAAGCTACACCCGAGGCAGAAATTCTGCAAAGGTGTGAATGGTTTTGCTCTCAGGACAGTGCAGGGGTAACAGCTCAGCAGAATGGGGGTCCTGCTCCATCCAAGCTTTCTTGATCCTGGAGGGAGCTCCAGAGCACCGTCTGTATCATAGAGTCATCCCAGTTCACAGGCACAGACTGCTGGATCCTGAGTGCTAGGGCCAGAAGGTCCAGAAAGCAATGGAAGACTACCAACCCCCACCATGGTTGCTCTGCTGATGGGACTAAATCTTTGGAGCTGCTCAAGATGGTGAAAGGCACGGGTCTCATTCCACCGCTGACTTCACCAAGGGCATGGTGGCATAGCCAGAGGCCCCTCAGTTTCTACATCTTCAGAACAGGAAGGGGGAGAGAATGGCAGGAATGGATGAAATCATGGTCATTGCCCTACTGTGAAAGTGGCGGATTCAATAAGAGAACTATTGGGAGTGAATGTGCCTTAGGAGTTCTGAGGTTGTTTCCCTTCACAGAGAGGATAAATTAATGTGAATGTGTCCCTGAATGACCACTCTGCTAAGCATCTTCTCTTACTGCAGTATCTCCAGAGACGGGGCAATCTAAGAAGACAAGCAGTAAAGATGCCCAAAGGCTCCAGTCTAACAAGGTGTCAAGGCCCTGTACGGAGACAAAGTATTTTCCATGCAGGCTGCCTCAGGGGTCCGTGTGACCAGCCGACCTCATTGAACTGACTCTGGCATTTGAGAGAATTAAATGCAAAATACTGGGGAAGTGCCATGGACACTGTCCTTGCAGAACGTGTAACCTCTGCAGAGACCAGCTTGGCAAAAATCTATCACAATTATAAACACATTTAATCTATGACCACAAATTTGCAATCCTAGAACTTGCCCTGCAGGAATATTTGTGTGGTATTTATATGAATTTATTCTCTGAGCCATCTTCCCTAAAACAGTCTAAGAGTGAGAACAGCTCTGCTCATCAATAAAGAACTGGTTAAAAAATTAATTATGGTCCCAATCACAAAACAGAACACTGTGCAACCAAGGATACTATGCTGGAAACATGCTGGATTTATAGAAATTTACCCAGAATGCACTGCAAAAATAGAAGAACAGCATACACATACACACATACACACACACACACACACACACACACACACACACACACACACACACACCACACATTTAAATTCAAGTGCATCCTTAGATATCTGGAAATCACTTTTTCCGGGTACCTGGAAAGAAACATCTATATGTGGTGTCCTATATGTGGTGTTCTAGCATCGTTTCTGTTGCTGTGACAAAATGCCATGACTAAAAGCAACATTGGAGAGGAAAGGGTTTCTTCAGCTTATGATTCCAAGCTTAAGTCCACCATTGAGAAGTCAAACGTTCAGTCATATCACATCCATGGTCAAGAGCAGAGAGAAACAAAAGCCACACGGTTGCTTGCTTGCTTTTTAGTTGGCCTTCTTAGGTAGTTCAGGGTTCAACCTAGGAAATGGTGCCTCCCACAGTGGACTAAATCTTACTGATCAATTAAGAATCAAAACAGTTTCTTACAGATATGTCCAGGGGTCAACTCCATCTAAATAATATCTATTAAGACTCTTCCCAGAGATGATTCTAGGCTGTGTCAAGTTGACAGTTAAAACTACCCTGTGCATGTGGTAAGCTAGGAAGCAGGAAAATAAGACAGGCAGGGATGTAGGTGGTGATGAGAGTTCTCAACACACGACTCTGCATAAGCAATCCCCCAGATACACTGGGCTCCTCTGCAAGGAAAATAGACATCTAGCCAAAGGTCAAGTGAACGCTTTACAGACAAACATCAGAAAAAAAGAATGATCACTTCGTCTTTCCACATTATGCTCAGGAACTAACAAACTGTAACTATGGCCAGGGACAGTGAGGCTCACATCAAAAGTGCTCACTACCTGGCCCTTCACTGAAAAATTTGCCAACATCGAGTTTAAATTAGGGGATGTCCACAAAACAGCTGTGACCAAGCCTATTCATTAGCTTCTAACATGGAAGAATTTTGTCTTCTTGAAGCCAGCTCTTCTGTCCACCATAATTTATGTGCCAAAAGAATGAGACTGAATTCTGTACCATTGCCTGCAGACCATGAACTCTAGGACTGATGGGCCCGGCTTGCCTTCAGCTTTGCCCCTTACCACTGTGTGCCTTGCAACAATGTAACCCCTGAAACTCTGTTACTCATCTGGACAAGTATCTGAAAGTTCTTCCCTTAATGGGGTTGTTTCAAATGTCAAGCATTTAATGTTAGCAAGGAGCTTAAACATATCTGTTAATGTTACCCTCTAACGCTATGATTATTTTTAAAACAGGGTGACGATCAACTAAATGTGTTTGGAGAGGACACCATGGGAGGTGAGTTTCCTTTGCTAATCAGAACGCATCGCTTCAAATTTGCTGTCTGTGTTTAACACCAACTAAGATTAAAAACAACAGTGTCTTTCCCCTGGCCAGTGAACATGAGTTATCCTGATGAGGAGCCAAAGGGAATCATTACTAAGAGAAGCATCTCCTAACTGCCCAGAGAACATGACTCCCGAGCAACTCAGTGAGAAGGAGATGTCAAGATGTTTGGGACACACTCACTGTCCTATCCCCACCAGAAGTCACACGTGTTACAGTGTAGCAAGGTCACATGGTAAAGAGTAATGTTCTTCGGCTCAGTTGGAACATAGAAGATTCAAAGTGTTAGTAACAGACAGTGAGGTTTATCTGAGGTGCAATTATGGCTAATTGAGTTGGAAACAGAATTTTTTTTCCCCAAATAGCAATTACTGAACTATGGTGTCCTATTGGGAGCCAACCCAACACAAAGAGTGCTACTTTGTCATTCTTATCATGTTAAAAGTTTCTCAAAGAACTAGAGAGTGCTTGTCTAACATGCTCATAGCCGTGGGTTCAATCTCTAGGCTTCCATAACCTAAATATGATGGCGCACACCTGAAATCCCAATATTTAACAGGTGGAGCCAGAAGGATCATGAGTTCAAGATTATCCTCAGCTACATAGTAAGTTGGAGGCTAGCCTGGGATACATGAGACCATATCTCAAAAACAGTTACTTAAAAACTAAAATATCCACTCCATGCTAGCTATATGTGAAGCTGAAAATAGATCAAATTTCATAGTGTTTATAAAAGACGAGCTTCATTATTGCCTAGGTTAATACATTCTATCCTGTCTACTTGGGGGAAAAAAAGTCACCATGGTTTGTGGAAACAGGTGTATAGTATTGGCTGTAACTCACACAAGTGATTTGGCTTTTTAAATAACCCCAGCTCTAATTCCCCATTGATCCATGAAGGGCTAGATAAACTGTTATTTGATGAGAATAGAAACAGCAGTTGTGTGAAAATAACAGTCACCAAATGATTGTGGCGAAGCCCAGAATCATGAGCTGAAATAGAGCCATCCCTCGGCCTGCCCACAGCCAGCTCGGTCTCAGCTGCATGTGGGATGGATGGCTGCTCTAGGAAGTTTCCTTTATCCCTGGTTATAACATCAGCACACTCACCGTAGAAGCATTTTAAAGTAGAAAACTAGAACCATCTAAAACCTTATGACCGATGACATTCATGCCTACTGGTCTAGCCTGCCTCACTTCAGTATATCGTCTTCATCTTATTTTTACCCTGATGAGAATCTATGTGTATGTATAAATATCATCACACTTTTTTAACATATTGTTATATAAGCATGTTCCCAAGTCACTGAAAATTATTTATACAACTTAGTAATTATTACATTGTATGAATATATGATTATCAACTAAAAATTAATTTTTGAACTGAAATAGGGTATAGCCATATGGGCTCTCCTGAAAAATAAGCAAAATAACCACAATAAATGTGGCCACCTTCTTAAATTGCAAATATGTTCAAAGATGCCCAGGTAAGCTGGGATGTTGCAGAACATTCGAGGAATGCTCTGTATCTGACTTAATAGAAAATTCCAGACACCAGCTGGACCATGGCACAGGCCTGTAATCCCAGATGTTCAGGGGGCTGAGTCAGAATATTCAAAGTTCAGTGCCAGCCTAAACTACAGTGAATTCAAGGCTAATCTGCACCACTTAGTAAGACCCCCACCCCAAATTAAAAAGTAAAATCCAAAGGACTGGGATAGGCTGAATGAATGATTCCACAGCTAAGAGTACTATCTACTCTAGCAGAGAACCTGGGTTCAGCTCCCAGCATCCATATGGAGGCTCACAGCCATCAACTCTAGTTCCAGGGGACCTGGCACCCTTTTCTGACTCCTGTGGGCACCATGCACACATGTGGTACACATGAGCAAGATAAGGATATAAAGTAAAAATAATAATAATAATAAACTGTAAGGGCTGGGGATAGCTCAGCCGGTGACTCCTTGCTTAGCATGTGTGAAACCTCAAGTTCCATACGCCAAAAAAACACACAATCACAATCTCTCTCCCTGTCCCCCCAAAACCCCACATCCCTTCACTGTGCAGGTCAAGCCTATGCTTGTGGGACCAGAAATGTAGCACGTGTCTCCTCGCCCCTGAGGTTCCCATTCCAACACTTGCCAATCCAGAATCACTTAGGATTTCACTAACTGCAGATGTTTTCACACTTTTCCCTATCTTGAATCATTTCTCCTTAAAGCAGTGGTTCCCCAAATTCAGACTTTGTTTTCACTGTCATGATTATTGCTATGTACTACTGATTCTATTTATTACTTGTTCGGTCCTGTTCTACAATCTGACTCATGAATAATAAATTAATACCGATATTTTAAAGGAAAATTTACATCACAACTTAAAATAGAAAGTGGCATTGTCTGTTCTAGCTATAAACTATTCTTGTCTTCTAGACATCTTGCTGTTAATTTCTCCTTTATTCAACAGGATGGTTGCAGATGTGAAGTACTGGGTCAGGGTGGGGCGGATCTGAAAGGAGGAGGAGAGGAGTGGGAATGACTCCAGTCAAACACAATGTGTGCAGATGTGAAACCCTTGAAAAAGAGAAGTGCAGGGTTGGCGACTTAGCTCAGTGGTAGAGCGCTTGCCTGGCAAGCGCAAGGCCCTGGATTTGATCCTCAGCTCTGAAAAAGAAAAGAAAAAAGATAAGTGCTACATTTTAAAGTGAAAGAACAAACAGGGATATTTACGGAAACTTAAATATAAAGTTTAAGATTGGCTTTATATGTAGGCATAGTGCACACCTGTGATCCCAACACTCAGGGAGCTGAGGCAAAAAGAGTGGAGAGTTTGAAGTCCAGCTGAGTTTGAGGCCAGCTTGGGACACACAGAGAGACCCTGTCTCAAAAACGAACAAACAAACAATCTCCAAACCAAAAAACAAGCAAAAATGTTGGCTTTCCTTGTGAGTCACACTATTTGATGATATCAGTTTTACACTTAGAATTAAAAGTCTGTATTAACTAAAAATCCTGGGTCTGGGGGAAAGCCAACACAGTCACTACCATCTGTTCATCACTATTTATTCATTTATTTATTTATTTATTTATTCATTCATTCATTTATTTATTTATTCCTTGTGGACTCAACTCTGCAGAACATGAGTAGAGGCAGGGCTTCAGCGCACTATTTCTTGCCAATAATTTAAATTATTCTTATTTTTAAAGGCTTAATGGAGGATTTGAGAAAATGTAAAATCATTTTCCTGATGGGTGAGTAACAGCTCTCAACTTTTCTAATAGAGTTGCTAATAATATTGTAATAGCAGAAAAATTATATTCATCTCTCATTCTGTCCTGCTTTGAAATCATGTTCCTCTTTTGATCAAAATAATACCCCTGAGGTTTCCAGATGGTTGCGTGCACAAATAGGCGATCTAATTTTTTTTTTTTTTTTTTTGCCTTGTTGCTTTCCGCATAGAAAAGGCAGGGCTGCAGGAGTGTCCGCCCCAGCTCAGCTCTACAGCAGAGGAATGCATTGCAAGGCCAAAGGGGATGCTGTGTGTCAGTGCCCAACACTCCCCTTTGCTGTTGGCTGTCAACCCTCTACTTAAGCCAAATGTGTGGCGACCACACATGAAAACATCCCTCCCTCACCACACGCTGTATTCTGCACAGCTCACAGTCAAAATTGTCTAGTCTGGGGCTGTGCAGCCCAAGGCTAAAGCACTTGCCTAAAATATGTGGAGTCTTGGACTTGATCCCCAATAGCGCGCGCATACATACACACACACACACACACACACACACACACACACACACACACACGTCAAAAAGATCATTTCTTTAGTGTCCTAGTAGAATGATACTTTCTAACAAGATGTGGGGAAAATGCCAGAGGATTCATACCTTCTGTGCACCGGCCATGCCCCAGGTTACCTTAGATGATCCTCAAACAACGCCACAGTTGGGTGGTCCAGCCCTATTCCATCTCTCCTACACAGACAAGAAAGCGACACTCAGTTAAGGGACTTGGCCGCGGTCATGGAGTAGAGATCAGCTTTACTTGTGGACCTGAATAAACTGGTTTTGTGACAGTTTAAATGTGGGGAGGAGCTGGAGGTGTGGCTTAGTGACAAGAGATCTTCCCAATGTGATGTTCAAGGTCCTGGGTTCAATCTCCTACCCTCTCCAAAATCTGTCAGGTCGGCAGAACACCTCCCAAAAGTTACACTTTCCTGTTTATTATTATTATTCAAGTATGTATGTATATATGTGTGTGTGTGTATGTATGTATGTATGTATGTATATGTATGCACACACATATTATATATACATATATATATATATATATTAGCAAGTACCCACACCTTGTCCATTTTCTATTAAAGTATCTATCTATACTTTTTTTTAAAATTTTATTTATTTTATTTTACAATACCATTCAGTTCTACATATCAGCCATGGGTTCCCCTGTTCTCCCCCCTCCCAAACCCTCCCCTTTCCCCCAGCCCACCTCCCATTCCCACCTCCTCCAGGGCAAAGCCTCCCCTGAGGACTGAGATCAACCTGGTAGACTCAGCCCAGGCAGGTCCAGTCCCCTCCTCCCAGACTGAGCCAAGCGTCCCTGCATAAGCTCCAGGTTTCAAACAGCCAACTCATGCAATGAGCACAGGACTTGGTCCCACTGCCTAGTTGCCTCCCAAACAGATCAAGCCAATCGACTGTCTCACCTATTCAGAGGGCCTGATCCAGCTGGGGGCCCCTCAGCCTTTGGTTCATAGTTCATGTGTTTCCATTCGTTTGGCTATTTTTTTTCAATAATTGAGTAGAACTGAAATTTATAATAAGCCACAGTCGTCCTAGGGACCTCCATGCTATATATATATAGCCTCTATGGTTCTATGGGCTGTGGTCTGATTGTTCTTTATTTTATATCTAGAATCCACTTATGAGTGAGTACATACCATGACTGTCTTTCTGGGTTTGGGTTACCTCACTCAGGATGATTTTTTTTCTAGTTCCATCCATTTGCCTGCAAATTTCATGCTTTCATTGTTTTTCTCTGCTGAGTAGTACTCCATTGTGTATATGTACCACATTTTTTCCATCCATTCTTGCGTTGATGGGCATCTAGGTTGTTTCCAGGTTCTGGCTATTACAAATAGTGCTGCTATGAACATAGCTGAGCATGTATCTTTATGGTATGAATCAGCATTCCTTGGGTATATGCCCAAGAGTGGGATGGCTGGGTCTTGAGGTAGTTCGATTCCTAATTTTCTGAGAAACCGCCATACTGATTTCCACAGTGGTTGTACAAGTTTACATTCCCACCAACAGTGGAGGAGTGTTCCCTTTGCTCCACATCCTCTCCAACATTGGCTGTCATTGGTGTTTTTGATCGTAGCCATTCTGACAGGTGTAAGGTGGTATCTCAGAGTCGTTTTGATTTGCATTTCTCTGATGAGTAAGGATGTTGAGCATTTCTTTAAATGTCCTTCAGCCATTTGTAGTTCTTGTTTTGTGAATTCTCTGTTTAGCTCTTTAGCCCATTTTTTAATTGGACTGTTCAGTATTTTGATGTCTAGATTCTTGAGTTCTTTATATACTGTGGAGATCAATCCTCTGTCAGATGTGGGGTTGGTGAAGATCTTTTCCCATTCTGTTGGCTGTCTTTTTGTCTTATTGACTGTGTCTTTTGTCCTGCAAAAGCTTCTCAGTTTCGAGAGGTCCCATTTATTAATTGTTGTGCTCAGGGTCTGTGCTGTTGGTGTTTTATTTAGGAAATGGTCTCCAGTGCCAATACGTTCAAGAGTGCTTCCTATTTTCTTTTCTATTAAGTTTAGTGTAACTGGATTTATGTTCAGGTCTTTGATCCACTTGGACTTGAGTTTTGTGCATGGTGACAGATATGGATCTATTTGTAATCTTTTACATATTGACATCCAGTTATGCTCTATCTATACTTATAAATAGTGACATTCTCTTCAAGAATGGGAAAACAATGGTGTCTTCTGTTGCTAGAGTTTTCCTGCCTTGCCCACAGTCAGGACAAATCTCTGTCACCCACCAGTCCCACAGCTGCTCAGACCCAACCAAGTAAACACAGAGACTTATATTGCTTACAGACTGTATGGCCGTGGCAGGCTTCTTGCTAACTGTTCTTATATCTTAAATTAATCCATTTCTATAAATCTATACCTTGCCATGTGGCTCGTGGCTTACCGGCATCTTCACATGCTGCTTGTCATGGTGGCGGCTGGCAGTGTCTCCCTCCGCCTTCCTGTTCTCTCCATTCTCCTCTCTGTTAGTCCCACCTATACTTCCTGCCTGGCTACTGGCCCATCAGTGTTTTATTTATTGACCAATCAGAGCAACACATTTGACATACAGACCATCCCACAGCAGTCTTCCCCAGAAAAATGCAATCAGATCAACTTCTAGACATGTGTGCTGACTTTAGGATACCACCTTGGGCACCTCGGGGGGTAAATCTTCTTCATTGTCAGGTGGGGAGGATGGAGCCCAGAGAAGTTGAGAGGCTGGTCAAAGTCACTCGGTTACCTAGCGGCAGTCTGGAGACAAGGATCTGTGACTACATCTCCCTGTGCCAGGTTCTCACCCTCATCACACCGTAACTGTCTGAGGGGACTGTGGCTGGAATGGAGCCAGACACTCCATCCTAAGGAAGAGAGTGACTAACTAATCACATCCCCGGAGAAGTGTTACTAAGAGTTAAAAAGCAGAAAGGAGCAGTCTGGGTGAAGCCTTGAGAGATCACGTGGGTAACGACCACAGGACAGCTTCCCTGAGGAGGCCATGTTGAGCAGAGAAGGAGGAGGTGGAAGGGCCTCATGGGAGGAGGCAGAAGGGAAACTCCAGCTGAGAACAGCATGTGTCTGTGAGACTCCTGAGATTTACAGGCTCGTTAGGGCTCCTTTGCTTGCCTCTAGTGGTCCTTAGCCATCAGTTCTCCCATACTTGTTTTGTATTTTTCTCAAGAAGTAAAAGTGTATTTCTTAACCTTTACTGGATATCTTAAATTCAAAGAAAAATAGGTCCTGCTTATATGGCTTACTTTTAAGTCTGTTTCCTAGGCATGAAGGCTTCCTTATACCATAATATATTCTAGTCTGTTCAGATTTTGTATTAGAAACCAAATTAGGGAAAGGAGAGATCCTTTAAAGTTGATAATCTAGAAACTCAGAGTAGGAATCCTTCATTATCATGTGGTTTTCATAATGTGATTCTCCAAAAGCTTGTAACAATAATACAGCATGGCTTCTAGTTACCATTACCACCTCTGGCAATATTATTTCCAATTTTCCCACTGCTGTGACTCAATGATTGTCACTTGGAAATGCATTGTCAATGTCGCTCTGCGGTCTGGGCGTAGCTGAAAACCTCGGCTCGCCTGTCACAAAGCCCTGTGCCCTTCAGAGAGTCGGAGAACACAGTGTGGAGTCCCAGACAGCAAGACTGAACACGAGACCCTCCAGGGGTCTCAGACCTCTCAGACCCTCTTTCTCTGAACAGAAGAATTTTCTCCGACCTGACCAAATTCTCCTGTTTTTCTACTTATTGGTCAGCCGCTGTTCTGCTTAGGAAAATAAAACAATTTCCAGTTTAGACAGAAGGGACAAAGCTACTCTGATACCGGGAACTGACTTCTCTTTTCTAAGACAGCGATTAAAATTGAGGCCTAGGGTGTAAATGCCCCTGTGAAAACCAGCAAAATGGCTGTATTATCACAGGTCAGTTTGAGGTCATAAAGTCCCTGAGAATACAAAGGGACAGCCAGAGCTGTCTGGGTAAATTTTAACAGAGCCACAAGATGTCAATGGTACAAATGTGGTTCTGTCTACAGGAGGCTAGTGGGCGGGAGACCTGCCTCAACTGGTAGAATGCTTGCCTAGCACACTCAAGGCCCTGGTTCAGTCCCCAGCACTGAAGGTAGATGTAGAGGACCAAAAAGTCAAGGTCATCTTCGACTCCAAAGGACTTTGTGGATAGCCTAGGCTACATGAAACCATCTCAAGAAAAAATAATTCTGGATTGTGCCATTTGCCATTAGTGTCTTAGCTCCAGCCAGAGCAGCAGCAGAACTGTAGAACCGGCAGCGCCTGGGTGGACATATTCACTGCTGTGCCTAAAACAGTTCATGTCCCAAACACTCTTGCCTCTATTCAAGTACCATCAGCTCCTGCAGAATGGCACAGGCCCGGCAGACTGTTCCCATTCCGGTATGCTGGCTGCTCCCAGCGTGTCCTTCCTGCTACATCCCCAGGTCAGGCTTTTGTAGATGTAACCAATCGTCTTATTAAAATAAGAAACACAGAGCCAATGTAAAAGAGAAAGCCGAGAGGTCAGAGCTCAGAGATAAAATCTTACCTCCTGCAGTGCTTCTAGCTTCCCCGAGAGAGAGCTACTTCCTGTTTGTCCGTGTTTAAAT